AGTTTAAGAGGGAGGAGAAAAACGGAATCTAAACCATAATAGAAGTGGAATCAAGTCCTTCAGCAAAGCCCAGATCTGTGTCTCTCAAAAATGTAAATATTCAGTACTGCTCTGTCTTAAATAAAAAACAAACGAGATTATCTGGATAGAGAAGAGGGGATTATAAAGGGAACAGGAAGGCTGCACTCTCCCAAACCAGGAAGCGAGTGAGAACTTAAAAAACACAGGCAGAGAGGAAAGTGAGCATATGTGTAAGGGTTGGGGGTTTGGGAGAAACAGAAGGACTTAGAGGGGTCCTTGTGGAATGCATGTGCGACATCCATTTGGGTCCATTTGTGGCAAGAGTTATTAATCATAGTTTGGAGGTGGGGGAGGACATTTCAAATAATCAATCTAGAATACACTTCCAGAAGAATAATGGATGATAAGGCCGGGAGTCGACAGAGCAGTGACATCATTCTAGTGTCCAGGAATTAATTACTACAAAAGTATGTTTGTTTTGGTGGTGGAGACATGTGCCAAGAATAATAACAGATTAAAAAATAAGACTTTCTGGAATTGAAGAAATGGCTCGGTTGGTAAATTGCTTGCTGCAAAAGCATGAGTACCTGAGTTTGATCCCCAGCACCCAAATAAAAATCTGGGCACCCTGGTGCATACCTGTAGTGCCCGCAGTGGTAGGACAGACACAAAAGAATCTCCAGGGCTCCCTGGCCAGCCACGCTAGCCTAATTAGCAAGTTCTATGCTCAGTGAGAGATCCTGTCTCTAGAAATAAAGTGGAAAGCAAGTGAGAAAGCGCTCACAGGTGCATACACGAGCACCTACCTACCTGCTCAACTGACAAACGTTTAAAACATTTTCAGTTTGCTTTCTCAAAGAGCCAACCTTGTTTCCCTTTCATTAGTTAATTCTAACATTACTTTATTCCAGAGAGGAAATCCAGTCTTCTGCATCAAATCCACCTTGTCCAAAATTTCTTTATGTTCCTCCTCTAAATTTGAACACACACGCACACGCACACGCACACATACATACACAAGCTCTTGGTAGTATCTGAAGGCCCGCTGTGTAAGGATAATAAATTACTTGGAGACCACACCTTGACCCTTGTTTCCAATGTTGCCCAACCCAGTTCAGCTCGATCACCTGCACCTGCTTATTAACAACCATACATGTGAGCACCAGCTCTTCCTGCTCCCTCAGAAACATGCTGGCTGTCATGCTGTCTGTTCAACCGTTCTACCTCACAGTAAATCGCCTTCAACCTTTTATGAAAACAGCAAACTCCAAAGGCAACTTGCTGGAATCTCAGTGAAGAACATGAAGCTATTTGCACCTGTAGCTCATAATTAATTGGCTGTGTGACACTCAGCAAGTCATTTCCCATCTCCAGCTCTGTTAAGTCTGTCTAAGGACAGGACTGAGGATGTTAAGACACAAAGGTCTTCGGGTTTTTTCAACATCAATAGTGAAAAATCTGACTCCCATCACAACCAGATCTTAAGAAAACACCCCAGAACTGGCTGGATGGGTGCTATCTTATTTTCCTTTTATCCCAGGACTCCTTTGGTGGCCTACAGTTTCTCTGTGGCTCTGATCTACCATAGCTGATGATGGTCTGTTGATCTTGGCTACCTTCCCTGAACAGTCTGAACTTTCTCGTTGGTGTTCAGGAGCCCCTTGGTCTGCAAGCAGATTTAGAATTTCCATATTAGTGCACACACAGACTGGCTCCTACTCCACAGTTTCCGTTTGCATTGTTCAGGAAGAGTTGCCTCTCTGAAAGACTCAGGTAAAGTGCCAGGAAAATATTTATCTGCTCATTGGTGCTTCATTTGTGGCCAGACTTAGCCCTTCCCTATTGCAGGTTCTGCCCTCAGGCGCCATGACTCATTCACCAAGCAGCAGAGATCAGCAGTCACCTCCACCCTTACTAGCTGGAGAAAAAAAAAAAACCAAACAGCTTAGAGCTCCTTTCTTCCCCAAATTCTCTGTCCACAGCCCACCCAGAATCAACACTCCCTGATCACTGGTTGCCATTTCTTTTTTGTAACATTCTGTGGCAATTAGACTGAGCACCCTTACAAGGAAGGAACAAGGGACATTTCCTCTTGTAACTGTCATCTTAAAAATAGGCAGGTTGGAGCCGGGCAGTGGTGGTGCACGCCTTTAATCCCAGCACTTGGGAGGCAGGGGCAGGTGGATTTCTGAGTTTGAGGCCAGCCTGGTCTACAGAGTGAGTTCCAGGACAGCCCAGGCTATACAGAGAAACCCTGTCTCGAAAAACAAACAAAAAAAAGAAAAAAGAAAGAAAGAAAGAAAGAAAGAAAGAAAGAAAGAAAGAAAAAAAGAAAGAAAGAACAAATAGGCAGGTTGAAAAGATGGGTCAAAGGCTATAGAGTAGAGAATGTTCTACATCAAAGCAAGAAGTTGATTTGACTCCTGCCTGAGCTGGGCCCATCTCTCCAGATCAGTTGCTTGTAACCTTTGGCCTCTCCACACACCTAGTTTCCGAGTGAGAAGATTACACTAAGCTGCTGGCTCCTGTCCCTACAGTCATGCAGCTCCTGAGTCATGTTTACAGCTAATGTGGCTTTAGGGGCATTGGTCTGTGGTAGTGATAAAAGCAAGTCATCACCCCTTAACATATTTACACAGAGGTCTCAAAGCCAAGCCCGAACATGCAGAGTGCTCAGCTGTGCTGTCGGGAGGTGGATTATCAAGTAGTAGCTGTCTGTAAAGGACTACTAGACCAAAACACTATGTTTTACAATTGGATCCAGAAAGCAACTCATAATAAAGGAAAGAGCACTAAATACTTAATCACATAATTAAATACACAATATGGGAAATACCATTGAAAAAGCACACAGACTATGTGGGTACCTCAAGAGAGTCCAAACCAAAATCAAGTTTACTTCTAGGAGATAAAACATGTGTCATAGGGAGTAAGTCAGTACATATAATCTATTTAGACCCTTGAATAATATTTATTCCAAAGGTTAATTTTAAAAAGGGACCATGGGGTGAAGGTAAGTAGTGGAATGTTGACCTCTCAATTAATACTCTAAATTTGAGTCCCAGACGTAAAAGGCGAAAAAATCCCCACACGCTGATGTTATCAAAACTCATTCTAACTAAGGCAACTAAATAATATGCTATAAAAATCCTAAACTTATAATAGACCTTAACTGAAGGTGAGTGGTGAACATAAACTTTGAACAAGCAACTCACAAGAACTTGTAAAAATGACCCAGTTCGGTGTGAACAGCTACATAAAGGAACCAATTCGGTATACGTTTACTTGACTGCAAGCTCCATGCCCATCTCTGTTCAGATCTATAAGGAGGCCCATTGATGATAGCATCCCCCGTGTATGACTTAGAAAAGCAACAAAAAGCTGAATGCCCTCAGTGTTTCAATGCGGGTGTTTCTCACCTTCTCATAAGCAGCTGTTGGATCTCACAGCTAATGACATCAGCCTGGCAAATTCGTGAGAATCCAGAGAAGGAGACAACCACTAAGTCTACATATATACCATTTCCCCAAACTCAAAGTCTGTAGAAAATTTAGTAACTGAACTGAAGAGAGATTACCCATGTCTAGTTTTTTCTCCCTTTTTAAAACCAAATATTTACATTTCTCTCTTTTAAATTAAGGACCATCTGATATGTAGAAGACAAATGTCTTTTGGTTTTCCAGAGTAGACAAGA